GAATGTACATTGTCTAAATTTGGGGATGAGGAGTTCTGTATGCTGTGTAAGGCAGATTGAACTGGGTTCCTTGCCATTCGATTATCTTGATGTATTGCAGCAGACAATGTGCCGGCAGCTGAGCTATAGCGTTACATTTCCAGTTCTCATATATGCTGAGAACTGTCGATGCCAGTTTGTAGCTAAATTCAAATGGTGCCAAAAGTCTGCAGGCAGATATGATGGAGTTTCACATATTTCTGTAGCTCATCTGGCAAAGCATGGCATTAGTTGCTTTGGTTAAAGTTATATGCATACCTGTAAATGCTGGGAAAAAGAAACAAATGAGTTTTGTAGGTCTACAACTTCTAGGAGGAAAAGAAGACCCAATATTTACTTAAGTTTTTAAATGAAATTAAATTTGAACATACTGCTGTTTTTAATCTACATTTTCATCCAAAGTGTACATTTTCTGAACATGTATGTCTTTATGACACTTAAATTTAATAAAATTCAATTAAACTAAATTAAATTAGAATGTATCTTTCTAGCTATTTTTAGTCATTCTGTATCCATCTGTTCATAAATGTTGAAATTTGAGACAGATTAAATATTCACTGTTCTATTGAATGGTAGATCTACAACTTCTCTAAGAAAAAGACCATTTTAATTTACCTAAATTGATGTTTTAAATTAATTGTACAATAAATAAAATTTAACTGGAACATATAATTACTGCTATTTTTTAAAATCTATATATTTGTCCATAAATGTAAATTCCTGAACATCTATGTGTCTGTATGCCATTTAAATTCACTTTTATTAAGTTAGTTCAATTAAAATAGGATCATATCATTATTGCTTTTAGTCTTGTTTGTGTCCATGTCTTTGTCCATAAATGTTAAGAATTTAAGACAAATGATTACATACATTTATCAACTGAATGTTTTGTAAATCTACAACTTCTCTAAGAAAGATACCTTTTAAACGTTTTCGTGAGAAACGTTACACTGATCTGCAGTATTGCAGCACCTAAAATGTATTTGGTTTACAATAGGGTCTCAGTTGTTGGAATAGTCCACCCAAAAATGAACAAGGTTTGGAACAACTTGAGGATGAGCAAATGATGACAGAATTTTCTTTTTTGGGTGAACTGTCCCTTTAAATGCATTAGTTATCCTCATTTTTCATTACACTTTGCATTTTTCGATCTTAGTTCATGTAAATCTACTAATGCATTTTTAAATCACAAGTTGTATCTGTTGTGAACTAACATGAACAAACAATGAACAATGGCTAACATTAACAAAGATGAATAAAAAATATATTGCATTCATTGAACATTAGCTAATGTTAATTATGTCAACAAATGAGATCTCACTGTAAAGTGTTACTATTATTTTTAATAATTAAAATTTAAGCTATATAATTTAAACCTGTCAAATGAGCTTGTAAATATGAAAATTGTTTCTGCTCAAAGCTGAATGCACGTTGGTCTTGTATAAGCTCAGATTTCGAACGGCCACAAATAAACCAGCTTTGTAAAAAACGCATTTTTGATACCAACAGCCTGTCAAACAAATTATTTGGCATGTTGTTCTCTTTAAATTGGGAAACTCTGTGACATTTTCCTGCTCGGGTACCTCTCAATCTATTATTCATGAGGTGCGAGTATGCAAGCTGTGTAAACAATTGACTGACCTTCTGTGTGCACCACTGGGCCGGTGTGACCACCCCAAAGTCCTAATGGACCGGAGGTGGCCTATCAACAACACGCTCCAGCTTATGAGCCCACTGATATGCAGGTTGCCTGGATACAAAAAGCATAATTAAATGTGATTATCATCCTCTTCACATTCAATCTGAAGTATTTAAGTGATCTGGTTGTTGTTGTTTTTCGAAACCATACAAATCCAACATTCATCAAAGATAGAGATCAGATAAGGAAACCGTTAGCTGTGTGTCAGTGAACACTGGTGGCTTGACGTAAAATATGACTGGCCTGTCAGATTAATAAAATTATGACAATATTCTCATCATGATGATGCATTGATCAAGAAGTGGAAGGCAACAGCAAAGCAAACTTTGGAAAATGTCTTGGAAAAAAGTCTTTAGGAGCTGTAAGAAAAAATATTTTAGTATAATTTTAATATATTACTAATGATATTATTATATTTTAATATAGCATAATAATTTGTATGCTATTATAGGTATAATATATGATTTAATTATAATATCAATTTATTGTTATATTAAAATAATAACTAACTAACAATAATTGTAATATTAATGTATTATTAATTCAATTTAATAAATATAATTTAATAAATTCATAATACACTTAATGCATTTTGGTTAGTTACTATTTATAATTTATTAAATATTTCATAAATGAAATAAGCATATTAAAATTTGAGCTAAAAAAATTATCCAGTAGGCCATTTTCTGGGAATGGAATAACATTAATGTGTCCAATAATATTTATATATAATAATATCTTCTGGATGATCCCTGTATGATCTCATATGTTCAAATGCTTCTAATCCTAATATATTCAAATAATGTTTATATTATATATCGTAATATAATCTAAATTTATTTACATTTGAATATAATATTAAATTACAATATAATACAATATAAATGATGGTTTGTTGTTATTTACAATTTATGAAATACTTCACAAAGTAAAAATATTATGGATACTACAGTAGGCCATTAGTGGGAATGTAACAACATTAATGTATCCAATAATATTTTAAAATATGATCTGTATGATCCAAATCATATGTTCACACGAGCTTAATCCCTGAGTTTTAAGTGAACAGTAATAATAGTAATAATTTAAATTTACAAAACAGCAGACTAATAAAAAATAAATGTGACTGTAAATAATAATTTATCTATCCTATCTTCCCAGCAGATTCCCAAATCCACCAGATATGTCTGGGATGGATGGGTCGGTGGAGGAGATCAATGGTACGGAAGTGGACAGCGAGAGTTTCCTGAGGTTTAGCCCTACATCTGTTTCTACCGGGGCGGCCGCTGCCTCATATGGACGGACTGCAAGTGTTTACGTCTACGTCTCCATCTTCCTCAGCTTGCTGCTTTTCCTCCTTACCCTGTTGATCATTGCTCTCCACAGGCTGAAGAACATCATATCCTCTAGTTCTTCATACCCAGAATGCGGCAGTGAGGCCGGGAGCTCCTTCACTAACATGGAGATCTGCAGCATTTCCTCACAGAGATCAACAGTGTCATCGCTGTCCTGACAGCAGAGAAAGACAGATTGATTACACATGTCTGAAAGTTCTGATATTATAGAAATTTAGAAATATTCTAGCAAGTAATTTGGTATATATAATTCAATATTTATCATTATTATCAGTGTCATTTTCATTAACATTATTTAGAGTAAATAATTCCACAAACCTTGTGTTCACTTAAAATAAGCCACAGCCGATCCTGTATTGAAATAGACTGTATTGAAGCATTATCATGAAGGCTTTGTATGATTTTGGAAAAATATTAATGACTTGTGTATGTCAGTCACATTATGTACATAATGAACCGTAAATAGAAAAACTGTCATACTGACTCTGTCGTACTGAAAATTATATCTGACAATATTACTACACTTTCATGACTTTAATGCAAAAAAGTTACAGAACAGGAAAATCATCAGTAAAAAATGTGTGGTGCTATAATGAAAAGGAACAGCATTCAGTGGATACTTTAGACACACTTATAAATGTATGAAGTCCATTGCATTAGAAATAAAATATAGCAAACAGATCATAATAGACTTTTTTTTTTTTAACTCATTTCTGCATGTACTCAAAGTGTTAAGGTGATTTTTATGAAGCCAGTTTCCCTCAAGTTCACACAGCTCACAGGTCCATTAACTATGGACTGGATCCAATAATGTTTGACAACCAGAAAATGTCCAAATACTTTCTGTAATTTTGAAAACAAAGAAAACATGAAATATGATATTATATTACAAATATATTATTTTCAGAACAGAACAAAAGTCCATTTCTGCCACAAAAATATGAGACACTGAGTAAAAATTACAAGATAAAAAGATGAAATTATAGCATACTGTCATTATGACGTAAAAGATGAAATTATGACATAAAAATACGAAATAATGCCAGAAAAAGTAAAAAATATGAGATAAAAGTCCAAATTATCACATACGAAGTCATAATTGTGAGATAAAAAGTCGAAATGATCACACAAATTCAAATATGACACAAATTTGACTTTTCATGTAATGTTATCTCATAATTTAACTTTAGTATGTCATAATTTTGACTTTTATTTCATAAGTATTACGTTTCATGTCACTATTATGATTTGCCAAAGCATTTTTGTGTGCTGGAAATGGGTTTCCATTATTAAACACATTAGAACTATTTGATATATTTAGATGCTTATCTACTTGATAGATACTATTCGCAAATGGACGATAGAATACAATATAAGCAAGACACAGTCTGCAATAAACAATACAGCAATCTGCGATCCAACACAGATAAATAATGAGAAGTCAGGGGCCCATAAAGTGAGCCTGAGGAGTGATATGGTTAGAATGTTTATTGAGCTGACAGCTGTTGGGAAGAAACAACAGCTGAAAGGTTTTAATGATCTCAGCAGTTATGTGCTGGGAGAGATGGATCATTGGTGATGTCTTTAGCACGTATGTTGGTTGAACAGTAGCTTACCTGTACATGAGATCTGTACCTGTGATTTTGAGGCTTTATCGAGGATGCATTCTACTTTGTTAGGGAGTCGGCATTGCCATACCGCTCAGTGATACAATAATCTCTGATCTCCATAAACGGAGTAAAGGGTGTTGGCTATTTTTTTGTGCTATCATCTGCCATTTAGTCTGATATTTAGTTATATAATGCAACGACATTCACATAGGCTATTAAAGTGTCTTCTACACGTGCAGATGCATTTAGGTCCAGTGTATTCGAGAATTCAGGTATTTGCATCGCTGCGTGGTGCCGCTAGAGGGCGCAATGTCAATTTCATCACACAGGCGAGGCGAGACTCTCTTTCTGCAGCGGCCATCGCTGTTTTTGTTTTTTTTTGTCGTGACAGGAGTCCTTCACAGCTCATATTTTTCCGTTTTTTATTCGTATAGGTCATATTTATTGGGTTATTTTTATTTTAAAATGCGGCATTTTTAATGACAGTCATTAAATCAGCTTAATACTAATTTATTCTGTGCCGAGTTCACTAAAAAGGCACGTCTGGGTCAGTACGTTCATGAAGGTCGGATGACAGGTGAGAATTTGGGTTTTGCGCTAAAAAAGACAAAATGAGCGACAGCGTTCATCTTAGTTTGGCAAACACGGGTAAAGAGGGCCATACCCCCGCACCCGCGGAAAGCAGCACCACCCCGTCCGACCAGGAGAACTTCCCGTACGACACGGAAGACCCGGGCGAAGAGAGCGACGTGCCGGAGGCGAGAGACGGCGCGGCCAGTCCGGAGGACCTCAACGACGACGAGACGTCCGGAGAGAGCGAGAACGTGTCCAAAACCTGCATCTATGACGGCTGCACGGAGACCACGACGCAGGTGGCCAAAGCCAGGAAACCCTGGATGTGCAAAAAACACCGGAATAAAATGTACAAGGACAAGTATAAGAAAAAGAAAAGCGACCAGGCCATGTCATCGGGAAAACTAGAAGTAAGGAAATGCTTATTTGGGATAAATATCAGCTTCAGTTGTTGCATTAACTTTAGCCTTTATCCCAACTTTATAGGCTTATTTCAATGTTTTCTCTGTTTGTGATGTGAAGGAGGGTTCGGAGGAGAGGCCTGTATCTGTTACTAAGCAACGGCTGGGCAACATGGGAGACAGACCAGCCAGACCGTCCCTCATTGAGCAGGTGCTGAACCAGAAGAGACTGGTAAGAGCATTGAAACACTTGGGGTTTGCACTAGAGTAGTTTTAGTTATTTAGAGCAGTGCTATTTTAGTGTCATCTATATACTATTATAGTTGTTGAATATACTATTCTAAATTGTTTGTATTTTTTTAGTTTCGGATTTCATTTTAATTGGTTTATTTTTAGTCATTTTATTATGTGCTTTTGATGTATTTTTCATATTATTTTAATTTTTATTTCATGTTTCAGTTTTTATTTATTTCCAGGTAGTAATTTATTTTTCAACTTAAACTTAAGCATTAGTTACCAAGGCAACCTTTTACTAATTATTAACAAATTACTAACATCATTTTTTCCATCTAATATTTGTTACTTTATTTCAGTAAAAAAATTGTATGGTTTTAGTTAACGTTAACCATAATAACTTAAATAAAATAATAAATGAAGCTAATAATAACATAATTCTTGGTTAATAAGCTTGACAACAGAGTTTATTTAAAATACTGCATATTATTATATTCCTATTTAGAATAAACTATATAAGTCGATTTTTGTTTTTTAAAGAAAAAAGAAAATAAGTGTTTTCTAGGCTTGGGTACCGAGAATCAGTTCTTATTCAGATCCGGTTCTATTAAAAAAATATAAATAAATAAAAAATACTGGAACCAAACTGTTCTAGCACACGCATTCTGTATATTCACACGTTCCCTTACAAAAATACTTAAGATACTCTTGACAGAGTTTCATTCACTACTGAATCTACAAACGTGAAAAAAAGTGCAACCAGTGTGGTCCGATGTCTGAATTAATGACTCTTATGAACCTGATCTTTTTAGTGAATCAAAAGCATACAGTACAACCAGTATAATACAATTCCCAAGTGAATGACTCTTAGGAACCAGCTCTTTTCACTGAATCAAAAGCATACAGCACAACTAGTCTGATTCCAGAAAGAATAAATCTTATAAGCCGGTTCAACCAGTGTAGTTTAATTCCCAGTGTGGATTTAACTAGTGACTCTAATGAGTTGGTTCTTTTGCTGGTGGTAGGCAGGGTGTTGCTATGCCATTCCAGGTGGCTGCTAGGGTGTTAACATGACCTTTATTAGCTGCTCAGGATGCACCACATATTCTATATAAACCTCTTTACCTTGACAAAGCTCATCCTGATGGTGCACATCTTGGTAAGTTCATACACCACCTCGAAGCCATGATTTACTGACTGAGACAGCAGCTGGGAAAACAGCTGGTTGTTGAAGATCTTCAGGCTGCATCCACTCGGGATCTTGCAGACAGTGGTGGGATGGAAACCGTGCTGGTAGTTACAGTTCTTTCCAACACTGGCACAGTGACGCTTATCTAGCACCCTGAGAAAAGCCAACATTTGGATAATGTGGACTCTGTCTGTCTCGCTGGTTTTCTGAAGTGCAGTGTTGACTGGACAGCACTATCTGGTGCCATAAAACAGTGTCAAGCAAGTGGTGATTTTAGTTTTTTTTTTTTTTTTTTTACTTTCTCTTGGGATTGAATCAACTCATGGAAGACATTATCAGCAGCTTGATCTTCTCAGAACAACTGTGTTTCCTGTCTTTTTTCTGATACAAAAAACCTAATCAAACACAAAAATAAAAAAAAAGAAATGTAAAACTTTCAACAAACCTTTGCCTATGTGTCTGCGAGTGTGTTCAATGGTGGAGTTTCGGTTGACGTTGGATAGTAATCCGAGGCAGAAGCGGTTCTTGTTGTTGGAGGGGTCTGTGAAGCCGTCCACGAGGATGCTCCTGGAAGATGCATGGAACGTCTCACCCACCCTGTTGTTTAGTTCATAATACGCCACTGAACACCAGTATTCTGGTTCCTCATAACACACTGGCCTCAAGTCTAGAAAAAAATAATTATATAATGTATCATACCTCATTGTATTCAGATTCTTTCCATATTCATGATCCATTTTAATTAGAAATAATGTCATCATGATTAAACACTTTCACTGTTTGGACACCAGATTGGATTGATTTTTCTCAAGATTTAAAAAAAGTTTTAATCTGGTATATGCTTAAAGGTTTGTAATTAGAAATTAGATTTATATGCAAATATAAATAGAGATTTCTTTAATAAATTCAAAATTTACTTTAATTTGTTTTAAACCAATAGGATAAGGCCTGTTAACAGCAAGAATGATAACTATATAAGATAACTATATTATACATCCACACCGATGCATGAAAACATTCTGTTTATTATAAGCGTTTGCTGCAGTTTTGTCATTTGCAGCTTTAAATACTCAGGCTCTTTAAAGTCGTGTGGATTTTTATTGGCTCAGTGTCAATGTTATATAAAATTGTTTAAAGGGGTCATATGATGCTTTTTTTAAAGATCATTATTTTGTGTATTTGGTGTAACAGAATATGTTGACATGCTTTAATGTTCAAAAAACACATTATTTTTCAAATGCTGTACATTATTGTAGGTCCTCTATGCCCAGCCTCTCTCAAACGCTTCGTTTTCTACAAAGTCCCTCCTTCCGACAAGCGCAGTCTGCTCTGATTGGCCAGCTGACCCAGTGCATTGTGATTGGCTGAACACCGCAAGCACTTGTCGGAAATGTAACGCCCCTTACCATAATCGCGAGCTTCATCTTTCAAAATAAATGTAAAGACAGAGCCCGAAAGGGGAACAGAGTCGCGTGACAGACACAGTGATGAAGCTGGTATGTGTGCAGTACACAAGCCACGGTTAAGACAGCTGACTCCACTGTGATCTCTCTCTCACTCTCTGTCACACACACGTGCACGCACGCACGCACGCACAGACACACACACACATTAAACTAATAATAAAACAGTAGCTGATTCAGAAGCGCCAGATTGTCATAGCAAAGTCAGAATGACCTCCTCTCCTAGGTTCACGAAACGGTCGTCCATAAAATGCATTGCTGTTATGTTGTAAGTAATCTTAAAGATTCCTAAATGCATCGACTTTCGGAAGGCCAAATAAAGTGCTTTTGCTTTCACACTGAAACGTCTCCCTGACATGCTGCATCAACACTAACTGCGGTTACTGAAACCACGCCTTCTTTCTTTGCGTGCACATTTGGGCCGCATTATGCTAATATTTCCACATAGTGACCTAGATATGTGGGGGCGTGTTAGAACGAGCCGTTTTAGGAGGGCGTGGCAGAGTCTTAACCTTGATAAAGAATATCTCTTTGGTTTTGAGACTTTAGTCTTTGCAACTTCAGGGATCTGGTCTTTGCACAATCAGCTTGTAACACTACAAAGAGAAAGGAAAACTTGAAATCGCATCATATGACCCCTTTAACATTTTTGTCACTACAATTATTTTTCATGTGTTATTTTATTTTTTATTCTAAAATGAATTACTTTATTATTTATATACCATTTGTTTTCAAATATTTCTATTTAGCTGAATTTTTATTTGTTTTAGTAATTTTGTTTTAGTCTTTTTTTCAGTTTTAATAATTCAATGTATTTTATTAAATTCAGTTAGTTGCCTAATTTTAAATCTAAAGTTCAAGTTTTCATCTAATATTAACATTTTATTTCAATTAAAAAAATATATATTCAAAACAATTTTATTTAGCATTGTAAATGAGGTGTGTTCACAGCTTTTGCACATTTCAATGTACATAAAGCACAGTAAGTATATTTAGTCGAGTGTCTCACCTCTATGTGGGGCTGACAGAATGAGTTTATTGGTGTTGGAGGACTCTCCAGGTTTCACATCGTCAGATGGAGTGGTCTCCATCATACTGTAGGGGGGTGGAGGCGTCTCTGCTGTGAATGACCAAGACGATTGTATAAATGTATGCAACTCAATGGCACTATACTTAAATTAAGAACCAAAACATCAAATAAAATGCTTGAGAAATCACTGCTAATGAGTGGCCATTTGTTGTACCTGTAATTTGGTAGGGGCTCCCAGGGTCGGTCGCACTGCTGGGGGAGTTGGGGTAGCTATGCCCAGTCGGGGACTGGTTTAAAGAGCTGGAGGGAGATGAAGAGAATGAGCTACAGGGCATCACAGGGAAGGAGTCTGGGTAAGTGGCATTTTGGGGCATGAGAGGCTCGTTGTGTAGGGAAGCATTCCGGAACTTTGCCAACAAGCTGTGCTGGGGATTGAACTCACTGTGACGTGGCACAAGGACTGGAGGTAGAACTGTTTAGGAAAAAAAAAAAGGGGTAAGAAGAGTTACTTACAGATGCATAAAGCCATAATCAATATGAAAAAAAAAAGAAAAGTGGTTTGTGTATCGACTTCTACCTGGCGTCTCCACACGGCGGTAATGATATGGATTGATGCAAATCTCCTTTTGTTTAGAGCCGAAAGGAAACTCACAGCAGTCCAGTGCTTTGAGCTCATGGTGGGACTGAAGATCCGGCCAGCGCCACACTCTGCAGTAGATAACATGCGGCAGACCTTTACGATGGGACACCTGGAGCCTTCCATCCAGGGATCGAGGGATGGTAACGCATTTACTGGGCTGGCCAGGAGAGCTCAGAGCCTTTTCCAGTTCCTCCATGGCCCCTTTCTTCTTCTTGAGCTTCTTTACGAGGGAATCCACAGCCTTTTCCGCCCACTTTTCCTCCTCATCTCCTTGCTTCCAGCCCAGCAGCCTTTTCACAGCTGGACTGGTGAAGGAGAAGAGGGACGTGATGGATGTGGTGGAGTGCATCATGTGATGGGGCTAGATTTTTCTCAAAGCTTGGGGCAGATCTGTTTTAAATCACTCCAACCCAGGAGCCTCAGTTTATTTCTTTACAGACAAGATACAGGCGAGTATAGAATAAACCCCCTGACAGTGATTTTTCGTCAGGCAGTCGGTCGTTTTTATCTGGTGAAAGAAACAAAGAAGCATGTCAGAATTGCATTAATAAAATTATAATTGAATATGCATTCAATTAATTAATTATTCATTTCAAATTATTTAACATTTTGAAAAGTTATTAAATGATTTAATTAGTTAGAATTGAATTAACATTTAAAAACAATTTTAATCAGTACAAATGAAAAGTTATGGACAAAAATATACAGAATTATATAAATATTTACATTGTGGTCAAAGAAATCTTTTTAACATTACAAAAATGAAAATTTGATTTTTATTGTTATTTATGCATTTAGTAAAAGAAAAATGTATACTTTTTGCACCATGGTTATGTGAATTAAGACAAATTGTGCTTTATTGTCATGAAAAATAATGTCAAACAACGACAAAATCTAAATGAATATTAAGCTAAAGGGCTTAATTTTCTTTAAGCAAAATCTTCTTATGATTTTGGAGTGAAATGTGACATGGATATTTTCTTTTGTGAGATTCACCCTATTAGGGTGTAGGATTTATTGACGTAAAAACAACATTTTCCTATGCAGATCTCAAGATCTTATATTGGAGGCCAACATCATGCATCTGTGCATGCTGGGATTTATGAATTATTGCTGAGTTATTGTTGCTGTCAGTGTCAACAGGTTCTACTGTGTTTCTCACTGGACCTCACCTATTTGCCCTCTCCTTTTCCTGCAGAAGCTTTCTGAAGCAAAAAACGATCTGCTAAAAATCAATGCCGTTTGAGCATTTGAAACCAGAGATGCTTGCTTCCATCTTTGGCCAGACTAGTCAAATAATAGCTTCTGAAAATATTACTGCATGCGATATTAGAGGTGTAAACACACCCCTAACTAAATCAAATAACCATAGGAGAAAAATGAGACCATATAGGACTAATAGCGATGCATGAAATCATACTTTGGTTTCAAATAGGCACATGCAGGCAGGAAGATCAGTTGAGGGTGAATTCATCTGCTCCTCTGTTCTCAAAGGCAGTGTGTCCTTATGAAACTGGCGTCTGGCAGTCTGAGTGCTGAGATAGGCTTAATCACCTAACGTTAACTCCCCCGCAAACGTGCATACACATCCTTCCCATCAACCTCGCTTTGTTTTTTGCTTTAAGAAATGTTGCAATGTTATATTTAGCACTTCTTAAAAAAACTATTCCAGGCGTAATAACGGTCGCAACTTCTCTCTATGGAACAGCATCTTTAAACAGCAAGTGGCATAACAAACAACGTCTATGTTTACGCAGCCTACCTTGTTAAAAAGGTTTACATGCGAGAAGTTTTAACGTGAGGAAGAAAAAGTAAAGTGTGACAAGACCAAAAAAAAAGTTAAAACATAAGACACTTGTCAGGACTTGTTCTTATAATTTAGAAAAATGTTAAATCCTGAAATAAATGATAAATAATTATAACAAACAACGTCTATGTTTACGCAGCCTACCTTGTTAAAAAGGTTTACATGCGAGAAGTTTTAACGTGAGGAAGAAAAAGTAAAGTGTGACAAGACCAAAAAAAAAGTTAAAACATAGACACTTGTCAGGACTTGTTCTTATAATTTAGAAAAATGTTAAATCCTGAAATAAATGATAAATAATATCAAAAGCGCTATTTAACACGTTTTATTCCTTACCTTAACGTGACGAGTTGAAAAACGATCCGCGTAGTCGGGTAATTCCGCGAAACAGCCGAACGCTGAATCTCGCGCCGACTGGAGGTGTACAGCGCGTGTGTTTGGCTCGAGCGAGAGCCGCGGCGTCAGTCTGACTGGAGCCTCAGCGCCTTCGTGCGGAATTCATCCGCAGCTCCTGGAACTCCCAGGTCGCCAGACACAGAGGGATCATCATCCCATTCAAAGAGAGCAGCCTGAGACTCACTCGCAGGCCTATTGTTGAGAGAAAACAGGTCATTGTGGGCAGCAGCGTTTCACTTTTAATTTGTTTTCAGGGTCAGATGACAAGTGCGGACAGTTGTTTTCCCGGCTTTCACAGGAAGTGATGCACCTTTTTGGCCAAGGTTGTGAAGTGAAAGTGACTTGTTGAAGTTTTTCTGACTTTTTTTATTTGACTTATTCGGTTACTTTCAAGCGGTCAGCGTTCCAAAGGAATTTCTTTTAGAATTTTGAAAGAAAAAAAATCGGTTCATGTAGCGCAACCCAAATTGTAGTTTGATGACTGCCAGTTTATCTTAAAAACACTTACAAAAATAATGTGATATTAATATATAAAACGTTTTTATATATTAGTGATACGTAAATATATAACTAAATTAATAAATAGTGAGAGTAGTACTTTTCAGTTATATTTTTCCATATACCGATCCCAAAGAAAACGTTGTTGCTATGGTTACCCCAAGGGAACGCAACTTCTGATAACAAGCGCCTTCTCACTAACCCTCACACTTGCGGCTACTGACTGAAAGGTTGTTTGTTAACTATTGAACCATAGGTTATATATACATATACACATGTTTTATATATATATATATATACACACACACACACACACACTTGAAAAGTAGAAGCTTGTTAAAATTAAAATATAAATTATCATAGTACAAATCAAAACCGTTTCAGTGCCAGATTGGCGGAGTGCCAAAGTGTTTATCAATAGCCCTACTTTTCGTGCGCTCTTCGGCGCGGATGGATACACTTCGATTGTGTGCATACTGTGATTTGTCCAGTTAATGACGCAAGCCTGGATGGCGACAGAGAGTCTAGAAGTTTGACATTTTCACAGTTTACAACAACTGCAGGGGAACGTAACAATACTCCCAATAATGACAGCTCGCATATTTAGTGCTCTCTTTGATCAAAAAATGAGTTTGGCAGGGGGAATTCGCTTCCAATAAAAGTGCACTGCAAAATGATCCTCTTCAATCAAGGTTGTGCACCGTACATATAGGTTACTGACGAGGCTCTATATATTTAGGGCGGACAGAGAGTCTAGAAGTTTGACATTTTCACAGTTTACAACAACTGCAGGGGAACGTAACAATACATCAATAGCTGCTTAAATCACTGACGTAAAAAAAAATTGTCAGTTTAAAATATTTAAATATGCCCTCTTAAGAGTGGCTGACAAGATACAGGGGCTGAATAAGAACAAATGCCTTCCTGGTGGAGAGTAAGGGAGGAAAAACAGGATACTCTCTCCAGGGTGCAGAGCAGCCCATTGAGTAAACCTCATTAAAAAAAAGCACTGAGTACATGCCAGACCATAGACCTTTTCAGTCAGTCAACTGTTTTTAAACCTTATATGCATGGGATGAGCGTGTTAATAATGGATTTGAGGGCACTGATTTTAAGCATTCAGTTACATTCACAGTAATTTCATTTCTTGTAAAATTGCTCTGCATCAAAATCTGTTTTTCAAATAAGCATGATTAACAACAAAAAAAAAAATTTCAAATGAGTTGCAAATGCAGAAACGCTAACTGGTTAATGTTTTTTTTTATTTGGCTAAGAACCATCTGCCCCTTTTTCAAACCAAAACTTAATACAGTATGTAAAAGAAAAGATGGAAATGGCAATATTACATCAAAAAACAAGGACAATCTCCTTATGTGGTCACGGCACAGTCAGTGATAAAATGCTAATGCTGTTCACCGGCTGCGTTCAGCGCGCACTCATTTGTGGCAGTGGGCCATAAGTTTAACCATCTGCCCCCTGTTAGCTCACGAACAGCACACTAGCAGTAACAACAGCTACTGAGTTTTTCTCTCAGACTCCAGCCTCCAGGCACCAGTGAGGTAACGCAGTCTGATTAAGACTAGATCTCGGCCCATCTGTAGCCAACTCCAGAACGGCACCAACTTTGACCCTAAAATGTGCCATAAAACAAGTCTTCATTACCTCATAGAGGAAATCACCTTCATTTTTCTGACATATACTGCTAGAAAATACTTTTTTTTATGCAATTATATTTCAAAACTGACAGCACAAACCTTCAATCTCTGTCCAGTTAACAGCTACTTCTACTACAGGGATTTCAAAACACTGAGCAATGAAGAGAAGTTCCACATCAAATGCCCTGCAAGGATAGGAACATTTATTTTAATTAAAAGGTTCAAATTAACATTTAAACTATAATAATAATAACATTTAAGAAATTAAAAGATTCCATTTAAAAAGGTTAACAATTCATTTAATCTAAAAGTGCTTTTTGGAATTTTATGCCGTGTGCAAAAGTTGCAGAGATGCTTTAATATAAAGCCTCCTTACCAGCGTTCCACATGCAGGCTGGAGAACGTTTTCAAGGCAGCTTCACGAGTGAAGAGCTTAAAACCACATTGTGTGTCTTTAATCCCTCTCACACAGAAGAACCACACCAGGAAGTGGAATCCATACATCAGGAACGTTCGGAACAGAGACCGCTGTCACAAGGAGAATGAAAATGCAAAAGTATTGGCAATTTACTCATGAACATTAACCGTTATGCTCCAGTATTTAGATATATTGAGAAACATTGTTACCTGAGCCACTGATACTTTTTCCAGGTGAGCTCTGGATCCACAGGAGATCGCCATGTTATCCTGCATGGACACAGGAGAAAAAGATTTCCAGAGATCTCTTGGCAAGGAAAGGTCTGTTGGTAATCTGATAACCGTATCTCCTGGCTAAGCTTCAAAGAGATAGTTAATCCACATACCAACAAGAGATTGGCAATATGCTGCCTGTCTATTTTTATTTACAAAAAGTGGAGTCTCACAGGCTTCTCATCGATGCTCTCAAGACCTTCTTCAACGTTTTCAATGTCAGCAAATTTAGTGGCTCCGTCTGCATCAGCCATAAGAATGAGCCGTCCGCGACAGCTTAGAGTTCCCTGAGTAAAGATAAACACAATAAGAAACAACATTCAACTATTTAATGATCTAAGTGGGTGCAAAATAAGGCTTTTAGCTAAGATTGAGCACATATTTAAACTTCTTCAGGCATCAAGCCATATAACTGATTAATTGAGTTTGTTCACATTCCCAGCGGAGTGCAAACAGCATCTTTGTTATGTCTTTCTTCAGATTTCATCTGAAATGTGGATATCGCATAAGGAGAACGGTGTTTTTGTATTGTTACCATTCTCACTGCACCGCCTTTTCCACGGTTCTTCACTAATGTCAAAACTCTCACTTTCTGTGCTCCATACTTCTTTGTGTATTTCATGGCAACCTGAGGATACAAGCATTCAATTTGAAAACATGCACAGTAACTATTTTATTATTATTGTTTATAATATATATGTATATGTATAAAAGAAAAGTACCTCTGTAGTTTTGTCTTTGCTGCCATCATCTACCACAATAACTTCATAGGTGAATGATGGATTCTCCTTCTGTAAAATCAACAAGAGGATACATTAGGTTAAACAGAGTCACTTTACTTACAGCACTGCCATCTAGCGGTGAAACACTCTGTTTGAGTGTTAGCTGCACTGTTTGGGTCTTAGCTGCAGCCTCACACTTGCACTCTCAGACACTTGCACTCTCAGACACTTGCACTCTCAGACACTTGCACTTCCGCTAGCGACATCACTTGCAGTCTTTTATTTTTTTATTTTGTTCTATTTATTGATTACTTTTTTATTTAATCGCTCAACATTTTACAACAGTAGCCAGGTGGTGAAGACAAGACAAAAAAAACTAAATTACAATGTCACTTGATCTCCGATACCTGCGACGTCACTTGCAATCGACACAAATCGTGCGCTTTGCCAATGGAGACAAGAAGCTGTTGTGGTGATTAAACGATTAAAACTAATTTAGTACCATAACGTACAGGGTCCTGCAAGAAAAAGACAAGACCCGCAAATCCATGGCCACAGAACAGCAGAATATGAACGCATGCGCAAAGTCTCTTGTTAAGCGTTTTCCTCCTGTAGAAAAACATAAACACTTAACATGGCTTAATGTATTAAGATACATTAAGTTCAATTAAAAGATCAAATTCGATATATAGTTATTATTTAATGTACTACAAGTCAAACAGATGGCTATGAACACAATGCGCAAACTTTCACTTGTCCTCCCATACAGCAAAACGCATAATGTGGCATAATAACGGACTATGATAAAGACAATACAGTAGCCTATATGTCTTGTTGTTGACTCAAAGTATATACAGACTAACAAATATGAACATGCATTATGAAATGCATTAAGTGATTTTAAAAGGATCAACTCAGAACGCAATGCATTAAATTGCACGTTAAACATTTTCCTCCCATAGAAAATCATTATAAATAAAACACGTAATGTAGCTTAATGGACAAAGACAATGATTAAAAAAGAGCTGTAGACAGTTTATTCTATATGAAAAAACGCTTAACGCAAAACTGTGCGTGTTGCATTTATTCTGGGCTCACCTGCTTGCCTGTACATATTAGTTATGTATATTAATAATGTAGAGGAGCATATTGAGTTTGGCCTTTTTAGTCCATTATGCAACATTATGCCACGTTTTGCGGTATGGGAGGAAAATACTATATACATATTCATTATATTAATAAATTGTATATTTAATTTGATATTTTAATAGTGTCTTGTCTCCATTGGCAACGCGCACGATTTGTGTCCATTGCAAGTGACATCGCAGGTATCGGAGAGTGCAAGTGGCGATTGCAAGTGACTTCGTAATTTAGTTTCTTTTTTCTTGTCTTCACCACCTGGCTACTGTTGTAAAATGTTGAGAGATTCAAACTAAAAGTAATCAATAAATAGAACAAAATAAAAAAATAAAAGACTGCAAGTGACGTCGCAAGCGGAAGCGCAAGTGTCTGAGAGTGCAAGCCTGAGAGTGCAAGTGCGAGGCTGCAGCTAGACCCTCTTGAAACAACTGGTCTGCAGAAAAGGATCCAAAATAATTCATTTTTGGATTCCCAGGTGAACTCAAATATATTTACATTTATTGATATTTTATATTTTGTAAGTACATATGTTACAGAACAATCATAATCACAAATATTTTACTCAGAAAAACAGAACTTAACCATTGAGTCATTTAAATAAATTAAATACTGGACCTGTCTTTTCTCCAGGTATTCCATGGCTTCATCCATCATAACAGGCACTGCGATAGGACAGAGGTATGCATTAACAATATAAATCCTCTTCTTGCCAAAAGCAGATTAATGATTTTGAGCCATATGGATCCAGTGGGGGTGCTAACCCAAAATTATATACATTTGTGGTCAAAAGTTTGGAATAATTAAGATTTTCTTATGCTCACCAATGTTTCATTTATTTGATAAAAAATACAGTATTATGAAAATAATAATAATGTTTAAAAAATATTTGCAATTTAAAAATGTGTTTTCTATTTCAATATATTTTAAATGTAGTTTAATACTGTGATGGCAAAGGTGAATCTTCAGCATCATTACTCCAGTCTTCAGTGTCACATGATCCTTCAGAAATCATAACAGTTGTGCTGCTTAATATTTTTATTGAAACTGTGATGCATACCATTCAAAAAAAGAAAAGAATGAAAACAATTATTTTCTTTTGAACTTTCTATTCATCTAAGAATCCGGCTAAAAAAATCAGCTTTGCCATCAAAAAATAAAGTTTAAAAATGTATTCAAATAGAAAGCAGTTATTTAAAATAATACATTTAATACACATTTTTTTCTGTATTTTGATCAAATAAATGAAGCCTTGGTGATCTTAATGGGATAGTTCACCCAAAAGTGAAAATTACCCCATGATTTACTCACTCTCAAGCCATCCTACTTCTTCTTTCAGACGAATACAATTGGAGTTATATTGAAAACTGTCCGGGCTCTTCCAAGCTTTATAATGGCAGTGAATGCTGGTCGAGATTTTGAAACCCAAAAAAGTGTCCATTCATCATAAAAAGTTCTCCACATGGAGTTAATAAAGGCATTCAGAAGCAAAGCGATGCGTTAGCGTTTGTGTAAGAAAAATTTAAGTTTTTTAGGCTTCAAAATCTCGACCAGCATTCACTGCCATTATAAAGCTTGGAAGAGCCAGGACAGTTTTAATTATACCTCCGATTGTATTCATCTGAAAGAAGAAAATCATATACACCTAGGATGGCTTGAGCGTGAGTAAATCATGGGGTAATTTTCATGTTTGGATGAACTATCCCTTTAAGAGACTTCTTTCAAAAACCTTTGACCATCAGTGTATACATATTACTGCATATACCATCAAAACAACTCACATCTGAGTTCCTCGTTGTATGACGGAACAACCACAGACAGCTCCAGTGATGGAGGGTCCATCAGATTGGGAAAAGACTCTTCCTTGCCATCTGCAGCCAAGAAGTGTTTCTCCTTCTCATGGCGAGTCTGATCTATAGTGTTAGCACTGACATGTAGCACGACAACAACCTAAAGACAAGAAGAGGTGTGACACAAGAGAGTAACTAACTTGTTCAACTGGACGAATCGGTGAAGCTCAACAAAAGTATCACTATATATACGCACAAGTATTTCAAAAACACTTTTCATTCATTAAAATGCATTACATTTCTTTTACAAAATAAAAAAGCAAGAAGAGCAAACAAACTACCCTCTATAATATAAAGAGATGTATAAACACATATGAAAATGCTAATGATAAAATGATATAAATGTACCAATAGTAAGACGATCAGCGACAGGATCAGCGAATGCTGCATTAAGTCATATAAAGAGAAATCCATCATCCATAACCCAGTGAACATTGCACTGCAGGGAAGCTGTCACTAGTGTATAGCTAAACTGCTCTACTGAAGTATACAGGGCAGCCTTAAAACAAGCCTTTCGGCGGCTTCGCAAGGCGGGACAAACATGAATGGGTGTCGTACTAAATTACGGAATAAATAGTTACATCTCCATTGTTGAACTTTACTTCCAGTCACAGAGGAAACACCTACGCGGAAGTCGTCTTTACGAACCACATCATCATCACAGCGGGCGAAGAACACGCAGCGCCGCAGAGGCAGAGCGCCGGATGGGAAACAGCACTAGCGCCCCACACTGGAGCGGAGGACGCGAGAGTCACGTCTTTACATCACTGCAGTCTTCATGTGGTGCTTCTAAACATCATGGCGGCTGGTTTCAAGTGAGTGAGTTGCTGCTACACAGCATGAATTACATGTGTAGATTGTTTCTGAATTATTTAGTATATTAGACGTTGTCTGGACAGTGAGATAATGACTTCGCTGTATTATTTAATGTAAGTAACGAGACATTAATTGTTTTTTTTTTTAGAACCGCAGAGCCTCTAGAATATCACAGGAGCTTTCTGGTGAGTTGATCAATATTTGATTTCCGTCAGCTCCGATAAGTGTTCTAGAACACTGATCTAATAATTCAGTTATTCGTTGTCTTAATCTAATATTTCTACAGAAAGAAAACTGTCGTCCAGATGGAAGGGAATTGGGAGAGTTCAGACCCACAACTTTAAATATTAGTAAGTATGGGATGCAGATTAAAAAACACAGAATTTTCAATGCGTTACAAATACAGAGATGTTATTAGGCATAATTGGATGATTGTGTCCTTCTAGGCTCTATATCTACAGCTGATGGATCAGCACTGGTGAAAATTGGAAACACCACAGTGATCTGTGGGATCAAAGCTGTGAGGATCATTTTTATTTTCCTAAAAATGATGATGTGGCTGTTGATTATATATATATATATATACACACACACACACACCGTGTGTGAAAAGGTTTTTGCCCCCTTCCTGTTTTTTTATTTTTTTGCATATTTGTCACACTTAAAAGATTCCGATCATCAAACACATTTTAATATTACACAAAGATAATGCAAGTAAATGCAAAATGCAGTTTTTAAATAAAACCTGCCTGGCCCTACGTGAAAAAGTAATTGCCCCCTAAATCTAATAACTGGTTGTGTAAAAAAAAAAACAGCCAGAAAACAACCTTTTCACACCACTGTAAATATATATATATGTGACATGAGGCCAAGTATGGTGACCCATACTTGGAATTAGTGCTCTGCATTTAACCCATCCAAAGTGCACACACACAGCAGTGAACACACACCCGGAGCAGTGGGCAGCCATTTATGCTGTGGTGCCCGGGGAGCAGTTGGGGTTCGGTGCCTTGCTCAAGGGCACCTCAGTCATGGTATTGAAGGTGGGAGAGAGCGCTGTACATTCACTCCCCCCACCTACAATCCCTGTCGGTACGAGACTCAAACCCACAACCTTTGGGTTACGAGACCGACTCTCTAACCATTAGGCCACGACTTCAGATTATGAAGTTACAGCATTTTTTTCTTTCAGGAATTGACTATGCCGCCATCTGATGCTCCAAATAAAGGATATATAGGTAAATGTAAATTAGAATCGGATAATTGACTAATGTTATACATTGGGGTGTTGAATGAAATATAACCCGAGTTCCTCTTTGCTCTCCAAGTCCCAAATGTAGATCTGCCTCCACTGTGCTCATCTAGATTCAGACCCGGTCCACCAGGAGAACAGGCGCAGGCTGCCAGCCAGTTTATCGCAGATGTCATTGAAAGGTACAACCACATTTCTTTTTGTGTTGAAGCAGTGGGATTTTTTTCCCCTTCGAAAAATCTGAAATTTTAACAAGACTCCAAATAATGTTTGCATGAAATTACATACTTAATATTTATTTTTTTCTGCTTTTTAGTTCAGATTTAATAAATAGGGAGGAATTGTGCATTGAAAAATCTAAGGTAAGATATATAAAAATAATAGCCTATATTGTCTTATTATATTTATATATAATAAGACTCTAAAATACTTCTTAACATCAAATTGCTCTTTTCAAATCCTTTGCATTTCTTTTATCAATGGGATTTTTCTAGCTTTGTTGGGTGCTGTACTGTGATATTATGTGTTTGGATTACGACGGGAACTTACTTGACGCCTGTATCATAGTTCTGCTGGCAGCTTTAAAGAACGGTGAGCGCTTCTTCTGAGTATAACATTTTCTCCGGCTGTTATGATGACTAATAAAGACATTTCATATTTCTCAGCCCGACTCCCTGAAGTCACTATAAACAAAGAGACAGATTTAGCAGAAGTTGACATCCAGAAGAAGAGGCACTTGAAGATCAACCGGCATCCAGTTGGCTCATCATTTGTAATATTTGATGAGTAATTGAAACTTATTTCTCTATTATACAACAAGATCAATATAACATTCTTTAGAAATGACAAGAATGAATTCAGGCACAATCTTTTCCATTTTCTCATTGAACAGCTCTATAATCATAGTCGACCCTACAGCAGAAGAAGAAAGCCTGTCAACAGCATTACTGACTGTGGTAACAGACGAGGAGGATAGACTCTGTGCCGTCCACAAACCAGGTGAACATTGCAGGTTATTTACACGCAAACTCATCGAGGTGAAAACTGCAACAGAGATTTTTTTTTATCAGCTTTAAAATATGGATTTACAGTCAATTTTAGCATGAGGATATAGGGAAAATCTCACCTTGGACCCTTGTATGTTTTTTTTGTTTGAGTTTTTATTAAATTATAAGAATTCAACTATCCAATAAAGAAACATATACTATTGCACTTTAAAATAAAAAATATTTTATAATAGTGTATTTAATAATAATTTAATTTTACATAACAGCAAAATTACAATGCTAATATTCATGTCTTTGCTTACATGAACTAATATTAATCTTTGGATATTTCTTTGCTTTAAATCATTAAACTTTAAGGTTTATTTTGCTTTTATGCTTTTGTTGACAGTTCATAAACGGTCTTTACAAATTTCAAAAACATATTAGATCTACACAAATCATACAAATTAGCGGTTTTGGATCCAAAAATTGTGATTTTTTTTTTTATGCATCCCTGAGATTTAGCAGATTTAATTTTTGAGGTCTGCAGATTTGATTGAATATTTTTTGGTAGATCTAAAATCAAATGTTCCATTTTGTTTAAGGTGGGACATCGTTATCTGGTGAGAAACTGCAACACTGCATAAATCGAGCCATAACGAGAAACAAAGAAATCAGCAAACTGGTGGACAAAGTCATTGAGAGCATGAAGATGGCAAAATAAACACACACAGTCATGACATTTTTATCTAAAAGATGTATTTTTCACTGTCAATATATACTTTCTTTTTTATCACAATAAAACTGCCGACAGAGACCATTTACAAAAATTCTGCCTCAGTGTTCAGAAATGTCATCCACTCACATGGTTTAGATTTTTTTTCTTCATAAGAATATACATCAACTCCCCCTCAGTATAACAAAATGCCATTTTAAAATGTGCCGTATAAAAACCACACATGTAATTGCATGCTGGGACAAGGCGGCCTATCACTCTGACATCCAGCAGTAGAATGAATGTTTTCTCGTAACTGTAAAGTTGAGCAACAGGTGATTGAGGCACATCTGTACGGCCCTTATTAGTGTGCGTAGGGTCCACCCTCTCAAGCCAAACAGGCTCTTGTTGAAAGAGCCATTTGGAAAGAGAATAAAGACAGCATGCTGTAGAGAACCCTACAAGAATTGTCTCATTTAATATCTTGTATTTCTTTAAAAAATACGGTAATACTCTAAGGTCCCCTGCTCTAAAAGTCCTCGCAGTATATATTCATCTGTCCTGAGGTCAGGAGGGCAATTCCTGCACCCCTATGAATGTAAAAAAAAAACAACTTTAGTCCGGTCAAGCCACAGTCAGTCCGTAAAATGCTCCTGATCAAGCACAGTGCCGTTTGCTGACGTCCAGCCGGAGGTCATGATTTGGAGAGGGGCTGTGGCGTGCTGCGTTTCCTCTTACTTTTTGGCTGGTTGGCGGAATGTTGCCGTGGCAGTGCCCCCACTGCCATACCCATTTGCTGCTGTTGCATTTGGTGCTGCAAGAATTGCAACTGTGGAAAGGGAAAAGAAACAGATAATGAATATGTGCAGTTAAAAATGTCCCCAGAGTCTCCTCTCACAGCAACTGTGCCTCAGAAGCGTCTCTTCCACTTAGCCATGGAGATAAATGTTATGAATGTAAACCTTCAGCTCTGATTGTTGGTTTTAGTGTATCCCACCCTCCATCGGTCCTTGTAATCAATTTATACAAATGTAGCCAAGTGTGGGAAGACCAGTCAAATGGCTATATGAGTTTCTCATTATTTAAAAAGCTTACACTTAAACGATGCTTAATGTGAAAATATTTAAATAATATTATAAGTTATAATTGTACAGTTAAAAAGTTTGGGGTCGATAAGTTTTCTTTTGAAAAATTATCTTTTTACTTTTATTCAGCAAGGACACTTTAAATTGATCGAAAGTGACAGTAAAGACGTGATGCAAAGGATTGCGGCTGCAAATGCTGTTTTTTTTTTTTTTTTACTTCATACAAAATTCAAAAGAAATATGTGACCCTGGACTACAAACCCCGTCATAAGGGTCAATTTTTCGAAATTGAGATGTATACATCACCCGAAAGCTGAATAAATAGCTTTCAATTGATGTACGGTTTGTTAGGATTGGACAATATTCGTCTGAGATACAACTATTTGAAAATCTGGAATCTGAGGGTGCAAAAAAATCTAAATATTGAGAAAATCACCTTTAAAGTTGTCCAAATGAAGTTTTTAGCAATGCATATTACTAATCAAAAATTAAGTTTTAATATATTTAAAGTAGGGAATTTACAAAATATCTTAATTGAACATGATATTCACTTAATATCCTAATGATTTTTGGCATAAAAGAAAAATCTATAATTTTGACCCATACAATGTATTTTTGGCTATTGCTACAAATATACCCCAGCGACTTAAGACTGCTTTTGTGGTCCAGGGTCACAAATATAAGAGTACTGACACTGAAAATTCAGCTTTACCATCACAGTAATAAATTAAATTTTAAATATGTATTAAAATAGAAAACATTACTTAAAATTTGAATAACATTTCACAATATTACTGTTTGATTGTATTTTTGACCAAATAAATGCAGCCTCAGTGAGCATAAGAGATTTCTTTCAAAAACATCAACATCTTACCAACCCCAAACTTTTGTTTAAACTGCCTACATATGAATTTTGCTTTACTACTTTACTATTATTCTAAAATTGGGGATGCACTTATATTAAAATTCTGGTCGATAAGCCAATAATTATTTTCTTGTTCTGGCCCAATAACATAAATGGCAGATATTAAAATTCTATATTATTTTGTATAAATAAGTTAAAAAGAAAACACTATCAACTTAAATCATTTTAAATACTACAAGTGAATTGAAGCATCATAAGGTTCAGTATGAAAAACGGATGTTCATTTTGAGATTTGCTACATATTATATTTAGCAGTGCTATTCAATTATTAAATGTTTTTAAAGATGAACTTTGAGTGTTGGATGAAGGCAAAGGTAATCTAAATGTAAAAGTAGGGGGAAACGAGTTGCTAAATTAAATATACAATATTGGCTGACACTTAATATCATTTATCAGTATCTACAATGTTCCAGGCAATTTGGAAAATACCTCTAACTGGTATTGTACATTGTATAGATCAATATTACATGTATGTATTACATGTTTTCGTCACCTCTCCCACTGGCTCTCTGACAATGGAAGAGTTTCGACTAAAGCAGAGCTGCTGAAAGGAAACCACCATTCATTAACACTGCAGTGAAAACAGATGCAACACGCTGGACAGACATCAACGCTGTTTGCAGAAGCTTGGCGAGGCTGAAAGAGGGAGGAATGGAAGACTCGGGGATAATCGATGGGAACAACAAATTGTGAGGAACAGGAAAGGATGAAGCAGGAGCGATAAAATTAAAAGTGCAATGCAGCTGTTTGTCAGTTATCCTCTATTACACACACACACACACACACACACACACACACACACTGCCATGCTCTCATTTGTTGTCAGTAAGACAGCAACTTCAACTCGCATCCCAGCTGGGACTAATGCAAGAGTTCGGCTGTTACTGGGGTCAGATGCAGGACAGGAGAGTGGGCCAATCAGTGTGAGCTGTGCGTGATGACGGATAAAACAGCACAATATTAAATCTGATGAACTTCCTTATAAAGAAGACATTCCTGAAGGTTTGACAGATTTCATCTCAACTGCTATAAAACATGCTTCTCAAGCATCTATTAAAGGTGACATATCATGAAAATCTGACTTTTCCAGGTTTTAAGTGCTATAATCAGGTCCCCGGTGCATCTACCAACCAAGGAAACGTGAAAAAGATTAACCCAGTAACTTTGTTTAGGTAAGCCTTTTTCTGCAAGCGTCTGAGAAAACGAGCGCGTCTGATTTCGCTCACTTGGTGACGTGGCAAAGGGATCTCATTATAATATTACCGCCCCTTAATCTGTAAACTTCCACTCAAGGCACCGTCATTTTGATTTCGCAAGCGACAACGGTGTACCAGTTCTAATGCCATGGCGAAAGTTTGAGCAAAACATGCTAACTGTTCTGTCTTTGGGTGTACAGACGAGCACAGAACACTATTTAGATTCACAGCCTCAGAGGAGACAAGAGAGCAGTGGATTTATTGATTGATTTTTGCTGCTGCCACACAGATCTGAGCACAGAATACTATTTAGATTCCCAGCCTCAGAGATGACAAGAGAGCAGAGGATTTATTGACTTATTTACTGTATATTACTGCTGCCACACAGATCTAAAATAAACATGCGATTTATTTCCCAGCTGTTTACCTCCACAGACATAACCGACTGTTTTTGTAACTCGTGTGTTTTTACATAAACTTGTGTGTGAATGAGAACTTAGTTTAGTACTCACGTGCTGTGACAGCAGCTTTCTGTCCGTGTGCTTCGGATGTGTGCGCTCAGAAAACCTTATATCTGAAGTTTAAACTCATATGGTTTAAAACGCATGATTTCAGCGCGCGATAAACATTATAATCAGAACCAAAACAGATGTTTTTCAGGAGGTACGAGCTGTGGCTCTATTCTGGAAAAGGGGACGGGGAGCAGCAGCTCATTTGCATTTAAAGAAACAG